CACATAAAAGGAGGCGTTTGACACATCGCGTGACTATTCTTCTGCGCTTCAGTCAAGAAGGAACGAGTTGTTGGAATATAAAAAAAGCTACGACGGTAAAAAGTGCTGCTGCTGCAAATGATGCAGGACAGGAGCACTGTTTGAAAACGGTTAATCGTGTGTTCATATATTTTACAGATCAAAGCTGCTGATTATTTCTAACATGACAGCTGCACATTAACAATACAATTAAACATGACATCGAAGAACCCCGACTAGGTCTGACCCTGTCTAATGATGTCCTTTATGGTCAAATCAAAGCCTAATAAATGTTATTGATTGAATATTCTCTGCAATAAATACCAACCAATTTTCTAATCTATTAGGTGGTTTTGGGTTAAACAGACCTGGCAGCAAATCAGGAACAAACACAAAAACATATGAATACATTTTCTGCACTCACTAACTGAAGGCTTGTGGTTTCCCGTAGCAACGTGATGCTCACAGGTTGCGACACGGGAACTGCACGGCTTCGATAAGTGGATTCAGTAACGAGCAGCTCAACAGGTCTGCAGTTAAAACACATCTGTGTGCCTCATAGAGAACCATCAGGAGACGCTTCTTACAGCTGATTTAAATGTGAAACTGAACAGAACCTTCTCCGGACCAGGCTAGCTGTGCAGCATCTGTTGCCATGGAGACGGAGCAGGTTAAAAGAGAGCCACCTTCAGGAACGCAAGAACACACTTTGCTTGTTTGTTGTCACAGGCTTCGTGCACTCCTACTCCCATTTGGATCTGACTGGCATCTAGTTCTTGATTGGAACCAGTATTTTAGGTTCTGAACAAGCACATTATTGCACGAAATACCCAAAATTTAGTTTGCAAACTTGTCCCCCCTCTGGAGATCCTCTGGTCGAGGCTGCAGGAGTCAATCTCTCATCTGGCTCCCACATTATTTCAGTCTAATCTTGTTTGTTTCCCTTCTAGGATCTACACAATAAACGTATTTTTAGTTACAACTCGTGTGGTCTCCCTTCTTTAGTCCAGCTTTGAGTCAAACAAGAACTGAAGCGGTTCTCCATCAGTCAAAAACCCCTAAATGTGGCTCTACATGCTTTGACAGTGTAACCGTGTGTCCTACCTTGACCCTGGCTGCCCGCTCAACGTCACTGGGCATATCCAGCAGTTCGTCCACATCTATCTCCAGCTCTGGGATGGCCTCCTCCTAGTGACAGCAAGAGAAGAGAACGGTGTAAGAAACTTCAAATATTCCCACTAATGTCAGCTGACTGCTCACCCACACACACACACATCGCTGAAGCTCCTTTCATGAACACACGGAAAGAAATCCTCATCATCCTTTCTATTCTTAGAGCCTGTGTTTATGTTATGTGGTTGTCTGAAAATAGAGCAAGCATTTCTCCTCATGACGTGGTGTAATGAGGGACGAACATCCAGCTCTGGACACTAGAGGGCGACGCTCTCCCACCACCACACATGTTGATGGAGGAGAGACAAAGAGATGCAGACATGTGGACAGTTTTTGTGAACCAGGAGCTCATTTATTTTACAGTTTGGAGCACTGACAAAGGAACCACAACGGTCTGAATGCAGTTTGTGTTCATAGACGGTTTGTGAAAGTTTCATAACGAGTGAGAGCATGGCTTTAAAATCCGACAGGAGATAACAGAAATAAAGCACTGGTGGGATGACTGTTTTGAGCCACAGGGCATCACAAAGAAACAGGTTTATAACAGTTGAATGAAAAAGCAAATGGCCAAAACTTGTATTAAAAGCACAGACAATCTTAATGTGAAAGCACCTGTAGGTTATTTTACTGGGACTGCTTGAGACAAATCAATTACTAAAGTTGGCAAACAACCTGATTAAAGGAGCAGTCTGAAATTTGTTGTTCGCTTTCTTGCCGAGGGTTACGTCAGGAGATCGATGCTTCGCTCACGTCTGCCCAGCAGCCACTTAGATTAGATTAACAAAATGACTGGCAGCAGGAGGAGACTGGGGCTGCGTCCAAAGTTTACAGACTTTTTTTTGCACATTGAGATAAAACGTTCTGGTTAGTTTAAAGCTACAGTAGGCAATGTACTCCAGAAGCATTCTTTTTGTTCTATTTGAGGAGAGTCTCTTTCGTTATCTGTGGCAGACGTGGGCCTGTAAAAAGCTACCAATCGTTGCATTCAGTCCACTAAGATGACTGGATGCTCTACCTGTCTAACTATGTACTTGTCTACCTGCATGCAGTCTGTCACAAAATGATGTCAACACATTATTAGAGCTACAGAGCAGACAGCACAGGAATGGCAGACAGAGCGCTGCCACATTTCACATTTCCAGCTAATTCTGCAACATCTTGCACAGCTTAACATGCCGGATAATTACGTCTATTTGCATTTCTGTGTCTCTTGG